CAGAAGTAAAGCCCAATTCTTCCAGATGCCCCCTGTTCCCCTTGGAAACAGTCCCAGCAGCTCCCAGTCTTTCCAGTTGTCCTCACTGGTCTTGGAGGAAGGAACTGGAAAGCTGGAGGGCGCTTGCCCCAGCCGTGCCTCAGTTTCCCTCCCGGTGGAAAAGAGAGAGGGAGGAAAAGGGGACACGTGGACATCTTGAGTTGGCCCAGAGGGAAAAGGATGTAGCATCCATCCTGACCTTTCACCCACACCCCTTCTCTGGGTGCTGAGCACCCTCAGCCACTCTCATCCCATCATCCCATCCCATCCCATCCCATCCCATCCCAGGGACGCGCTTCCATGCGCAGGGATGGGCTGAGCCTGACCATAGACATGGTGTCACCCCTGGAGAGAAGGAACCGAGCCAAGCCCTGTATTTGACGCCCCCTCAAGCTCCCCCCACGACAGCCCTGTCCCCTCATTAAGGAGAGGGGGGAATAAAATAATGGATGAGGAGGAGCTGGGAAGGATGGTTTAACCCCATGGCAGTGTCCGTCTACAGGAGGGGCGGCTCGTCCCCAGGTCCTGTGGCAGGAGAGGGGCGGCTCGTAAGCAGGTGTATTGCTCTGTGAAGGGCTGTGTGGAGCGAACTGGTGCAAACTGGTCCCCAGCAGCCCCGAAGATGCAGAGGTCAAGCACGAGCGATCGCTGGACCGAGGCGTTTTGTCACCGCGGGGAAGGGTAAGTCTCCGGTGCAGAGAGACAGGAATTTGCGGCTCCTGTTACCTTGCACTGGGAGCAGGCGGGGGACCCAGAGGAAGCCACCCCCTCTCCAAAAACAACAGCACCCCACAAAGAGGCCTTTTGCAAACAAAACCCTCGTCCCCTCTAAACCGTTTAGGAGGGTTAGCTCCCAGCTGGTACAAGGCTGATTATCAATATGCTCTCATTTATCCTGCAAAAGCCGCCTGACGCCATGAAGCCACACATCCGCCCGTGCCGCGGCATCTAAACCCAGCCCAGAATAGCAGCAACCCCAAATCGGCTCACGCTAATTGACTAACCTTGTTAATCCTACAGAGAGAGGAAAAAAAAAAACCAAAACAACCTAAGAGGTCGGGGAATTTCTGCTGCAAGCCCAAAGCCGGCTTCGTTTCGATAAAAGCAATTTATACCCTGCTAAATACCCAGAAGCATCCGATGAGGCCGGCAGAAAGAGGTTTGAAACAGCCAGAAAGACGAGCCGGGGTTTGCCGAGCGGGATGCTGCGGGCAGCCAGGACAATGTGGGTCCCTCATGGGCCAGACAGGTGCAGAAATCACTTTATTCGGGTTAAGAAAGCCAAGCTTTGCGGAGAGAGGGGTGAGGCTAGCTAGATAACTGATACAACGGGGGAAAATATATAAGCCAGAGGAAGAAAATGAAGTTTCGGGTAGGGAGCCTGCGTTTCAGCAGCAAACTTCTGGCAAGGAGACGGGTCGTGAGCATCCCAGAGCTGGGATAACGCTTCTACCAGCTGAGAGCTCCCACTTTGGTGCTGTGTTTGTCCAGATGCTGAACTGCCCTCAGCGACGGCCCATCACCCCGAAATGCGGCCAGCACCTCATTATCCATGCTGCAGAGCCCACCGGGTCTTGGGGCTTTCCCGGAGCAATCTGTCTGTCCCTTCTCACGCTGGAGGAAAGCACCGTCGTGACTTTCTCCAACCGCAAACCCCATCCGTGCCATCACGCTCCTTCCCTTCCATCCCGCCCCGGCTGCGGGTACTCGGCACTGGTGAGGCCGCACCTCGAATACTGTGTTCAGTTTTGGGCCCCTCACTCCAAGAAGGACGTCGAGGTGCTGGAGCGTGTCCAGAGAAGGGCACCGAGGCTGGTGAGGGGTCTGGAGAACAAGTCTGATGAGGAGCGGCTGAGGGGACTGGGGTTGTTTAGCCTGGAGAAAAGGAGGCTCAGGGGAGACCTCATCGCTCTCTACAACTCCCTGAAAGGAGGTTGTAGCGAGGTGGGGTCGGTCTCTTTTCCTAAGTAACAAGCGATAGGACGAGAGGAAATGGCCTCAAGTTGCGCCAGGGGAGGTTTAGATTGGACGTGAGGAAAAACGTCTTTACTGAAAGAGTGGTTGAACACTGGAAGAGGCTGCCCAGGGAAGTGGTTGAGTCCCCATCCCTGGAGGTATTTAAAAGACAAGTAGATGAGGTGCTTAGGGACATGGCTTAGTGGGTGGTGGTGTTGGGTCGATGGTTGGACTTGATGATCTTAGAGGTCTTTTCCAACCTTAATGATTCTGATTCTATGATTCTATGATTCTACTCGCCCATGGCACATGGGCTCCTCGCCGCTGCGGCCCCAGGGAAATCAAGACAGCTATTTCTCCATCGCTGCACGAACGCAGTCAATCACTTGTGGCTCGTGAACATTTAAATGCTCTCAGGGCTGGAGAAAAGCCTGCCACTAAGATGTTTTTGATCTCCCCCCCCCGCCCCCTCCCCGAGTCCCCAGCTCCAGCTCAGGCTTTGCTGCCTCCTCTCCAGGCATGACGATGTCTCCCCGTGCATCTGCCAATGCCGGGAAGCTGCATGGGGATAGGACAGCAAGCCCAGACACAAGGACAACCCAAAACAACCCAGTGCCACCCTGGGGAGTCTCATCTCAGGGCCAGGGCCACCAGGAGAGGATCAACTACCCTTCTCAGGCATCAGATGAGAGAGGACCAGCAGCATCCTCCTCTCCTGCCCAGCGCAGAGGGAACTTGCTTCCGCAGCAAAAAAAGAGCCACCAAACACCAGCTCCACGTTCATGCACTGCGTCCCACCACCATCTCCGGTGGGTTCCACCTTCCCACCGTCCTGGTGAAACCAGAGGCAGCGTTGTCTATGGAAAAGCAACCTCTTGAGCCCAGTACAGGAGCTGAAGCATCGCCCAGGGAAGGGCAATTCCCCAGGAACTCGTTCCCCCAGCTTGGGGTGACGTACCCCGTGATGGAGCTGCTGCCCACCCCGCTGCTGGGTCCTCCTCACCAGCATCACAGGGGAAAAAAAAAACCACCTCGAAAACAAATCCTGCTGCATGCAACGTGCTTTGAAACGGAAAGGGAAGAGGAGGAGGAGAAAGCGAAGCAGCGAGGCTCGGGAAGCATAATCTCGTTAAAAATCTCAGCAGGGACGCGGTGTAATTAATCCTGACAAATTCATTGCGGAACAATCCCTCGGTCGGTTTGGGATAAATCGTGAGCTGGTGCCTATGGCATCGTCACGAGGATGTAGCAGGTACCTCCGGGTACCTTACGGCAAGTGAAACAAGAAAAATCCTCCCCTTTCAGCTGCTGCTGGGGCTGCCGTCGCTGCCGAAAAGGCGGCTGCTTGCGGAGGAGAAGGGGTTTTGCCAGGTTATCGGGTGGCAAAAGGGGACAGGGACCCCGCGGGCTCCTGGGTACCCCCCAAGCTGAGACGGGGAGCGGGATGGGGATGCTCAGGCGGGCATGGCCAGCCCTCCTCCTCCGCAATGATATTTAGGAAAAAAAGGCTGAGTTCTTCCCAGATTTTAGCTACTGGGTGAAATGAATTGAGGAAATAAATACGCCTCAAGTTGCTCTGAATTTTTGCAGGGATCGCCTTTTGTCCCTCATTTTGCAGAAGCGCCATCGCAAGCTAAGCCAGCGCTGACGTGACTGCATTGCTCGGCCTTCTCCATCTCCTCTCACCCTCACCGCAAGCAATGAATTCCCTCTGCAAGACAATTTTTGCCCTAAAGAATGCCCTGTCCATCTAAAATAGGAAGCATTGAAAATCTCTCCTGTTTCAGCTGGAGAGCAATGTTTGGCTTAAAATATATAGCGATAAACATGCTTCGATGTCTCATAAAGATGGAGAGGGACATCTATGCTTCGTCATCATGCTCGGCCTTTTAAGATGGCCCGGGCCAACAAAGTCATAATGAAACCCCCCTCAGCTCTGCCAGCTCTTCCTTGCCAGAGCCTGGGAACCACTACTCTTAGCATCCTGGTCAGCCCTGGACTGGGATGCTGGGCTTTGGATACCACCGGCATCCCAACACCCCCGCACCGCCCTTTCCAGCACGGGAGGTCTTTCCTCCCCGGAGGCATTCCCAGCTTTCCTCTCCTCCTCGTCTCATCTCCTAAACGAAGTATGTCAGGCAGCATTAGCTCAGCCTGCCCCTGATCCCTGCCCAGGGAGCATCCCTTGCAAAACAAATCACTCCGTGTCAGCAGAAGTGTCTGGAGTGATAAAAGCCGTTCAGCGATGGCGGCTCCGTATGACCAGCCACTGGACGCTCCCAAACTTGATTAGGACCTTGAATATAATCGCAGATTTTCCGCTCCGCCTGCCAGCCTGGCTGAGGATGAATGAATCCCTCACGCTAGCTGGAGTCTCTTGCTTCTCCTTCTTTAACCCTCATGGAGATTTATGGCCCTTCGGTGGCTTTCGCCTTTCTGGGGAGATGACGAAGTCCAACACTTCCTTGCTCCACGGCAAGGTGCACGGTGGCTGCTTGCCTCAGTTTCCCCATCTGTAAAAAAAAAAAAGGGGGGGGGGGATAATTTTATAAAAAAATCTTTTCAGTTCCATGGTGGAGGAGGAAGTTCTTAGCAGTTTGGGATCTATTTATCTGTTCCCCACATCCTTGGTGCTGGCATGACCTGCCTGACCACAAGAAGACAGAAAAAGCAGGAGGGATCTGGGAGATGCTGCCCAGCACCGTGCAGGGTGGGGTACCCCGGTGGGGACAAGCCAGGGGGTTGAGACATGGACAGCACATGGAGTTCCTCTCCGAGATGAGCATCTCCCCCTCTGAAGCAGCAGTCACAGTTCAGCGCATCACCACGCTCCCTTTCAGGAGCAATTTTCCTCCTCGTGCTTATTTATTTTGTGGTGAACTTGGCCGGTGCTGGGGAAGATCAGCCCATCCGGCTCTTCACAATGCAAAGGAGGAGGGCTTTTCCCTCCCCCCCCCCTTTTTTCCCCCCCTTTTTTTTTTCCTTTCCCCACTCCTGCCACTCGCCATCAGGATGTCGTTCCTGCTCCTGCTCTCCCGCAGGACCTGCTCCCACACCACCAAGGCCACGAGCACTTGGGAATTTTGGCAGGGCTTCCCTGTCAGGAAAACCTGGGGGGGCCAGAGGGGAGAGGGGCACGGAGGGAGTTATCACCAGGGGAAGCCTGCAGGCAAAATCTCCAAACCCAGATAACCAGATCCTCAAATATGATGAGTTAAACTCCCTGATAAGCTACAGAATAAATAAAGCAGCAACCCAAATTCCTTGATGTTCCTTCTCAGAAGACCCCAGATCCATCCCTTGGGTTATGGGTGAGGGTCTTACAGACCCGGGACAGACCGCAACGGTCAGAGGGACAGACACAGCCCATGCACACAGGTTGGTTTGGGGATCCCACATTTTGTTTTTGATGTTTTCCTTCCAAAAAAAAAGCAATTTATGGTTCAGGGACCTCCTGAGCCGCGGAAGCCTCTGAAGAGGTGATCCCCCATCAGCCGGAGGATAATGAGAACAAACACTTGCCGCACGGGCTTCATCGAGGTGGGCGAGCGCAGAGAAAGAGTCTGTGCAAATATGAATCGAGATAATCAAAGCTGCCGGGGAGCGGGGCTGAGGGACGAGCTGCAAGGAGAGAGACCTCTCTCCTTCCTGTGGACCGGGAGTTGCAGATGGCTGGAGCTGGCTGGAGGGATGCAGGATGCTCGGGGTACCGGGGCAGACGGATGCAGGATGCTCGGGGTACCTGGGCAGATGCAGGACAGGTAGGGGCGACCAAGGATGGGGTCTTAACACACACTTGCCTCCCACAGCTTCCAGACGTCATTGAAGGACTTGAACACCCTCAGCGCACCCTCAGTAAGTTTGCAGATGACACCAAGTTGGGCGGGAGTGTTGATGTGCTCGAGGGTAGGAAGGCTCTGCAGAGGGACCTGGACAGGCTGGATCGATGGGCCCAGGCCAACTGGATGAGGTTCAACAAGGCCAAGTGCCGGGTCCTGCACTTCGGC